CATCAACTTCAGGCCCTATTCAAGAAAAAATAATTTAGTCCTACAGATACACATTTCATTAGCAGACACAGTAGTTCCAGCACAATGTTTTTAACATTAATAAGAAAGCAGCAAGCAGCATAACATAGACAACTGCTACAGAATTGTTCAGTACCACAACAGCATAATGGTGTTAAACCTACTAAACCAGACTGCACCCTAAAATGCTTTTTAAAAACTGACCAATTGATACATTTGTGCTGTTTCTAGATCCACTTCTTATACATGCCAAGAATTAATGAGGGCGTGAACCAGGCCTTACATAAATTTTCTCCATCTGATGACCATCAGCCAATCCTGTCAACAACACATTTTCATCCAGTCCACTCCATCTACCCCTGGAGTCCAGCAATATGCTCACAGCTGATGCAGTTAGTCAAAGCAGCCTGTTCTATATGGCATCAACTCATACACCTCTGCAACAGGAGCTCAGTTAGGAGTGGCCCATATCCAGAGATGGCTCCCTGGTTATCCCCCTGTAGCAGGCTTTCAGGTCCCCTCCTCTCAACAAAATTACATGAGAGCATGCCAGTTTGCAAAGATGATAAATGAGACAAAGAACAACTCTAGCTCAAAATGGGCAAATATAACTCTTCCCATCTTAAACTCTTCTGTACCTCTTACTGCTTCAACAACCTGTTATAAAAGTCCATGTCTTAAAATTCATCTTAAAATTCTTACTGTCTCTATATTAGCACTCTATCTCACTGTCTCTACATCTATATTCTAACAGAAAATAAACTGATAGTTTCACAAACCTGGAGCATATTCTTGCCGAACAAAAACAATAGCCACTGGATTAACCGTCACATAGTGCTAACATTATGTCATTATTTCATTACTGCTACTTACAGTCTACTATTTAAAACTACTAAATCAGCTCAGGTTTTATGTTTTAAAAAGGTGAAAATATATAAATAAAAGAATTTACCATCCTCAGTGAAGCTAGCAGGATCACTGAAGCCACTGCAGTGGCTCATAGTTTCAATTGAAGCATCTTCATCACTAAAAGGCTGCACATTTCTGGGCTGACCACCTTAAGGAAAGATGAAGACAATAGTTTGGTCATTTCTCATACAGAGAAGGAAGTTCTGAGCAACAAAAGTAGAACTGAATCCTCCCAAAGTAGATTCATTCTACCTGACCTGACCACAGAAAGAATGTTTCCATCCTCTGCTGGTTCCTTTACTCCCACCTATTCTGAAAGACATAGTTGGCTCTGTTCTGGAGATCCATCGTGAATAGTGAGGAAGGGCCCACCTAGCACCAGTCCAATTCCTACTCTAGGTACTGGCTGACTTCCTACAGTACATTTAAGATCTTTCTACAATCAACTTCACGTTAATGCAGTTTTCTGTGACTATGCTTTAAAAATAAGTCTATGTTAATTTAAGTGTTAGAATGAGCTACCTAAAAAAACTGTCATTTGGCCTTTATTTTTTAATTTTGAGGGACTTCAAGACAGTGGAAGTTAAACCTTTAGGCAAACATACATTACCCAGCTCAATGCAGGATTTATGGGATTAAGTGTAGTATGTGCAGCATCAGCAATGTCCAACTCCTTTACTACTGAATTACAAGCCAGAACATCAAATGCCTCAACAAGGGATAGTTTTCCCTCTTAGGGACAAGAAGGCCTTGGCGCAGCAGCTTCAGACTTTTTGAAGGAATCAGTATTTTTACTAGTGTTCACCTCTCTTTTCTATTATTTCTCCAACAGTTCCCAAAACATTATTTACAGAACTCTGAATTCTATTTTTTCAGTTATTTTTTTCTAAATTATTTAGAAGATTGCATCAGCTTCAGGCAGGCTCCCTAACTACCAAGACCCCAAAAAACTATTTTTATCTAGGCGGAATCAACTTGCAGTTGGATCAGTGCCCAAATGCTTTCCAATGAAGTTAGTCACACTCCGGAAGTTTTGCTGCTTTTAACTGTATCCACTTGTATCATTAACCATAACCCAAAAAAACCCCACCAGCTAATGCACGAGCCAACAAACTTGGAAGCTCATCGCTCTCACATGGCCACCTTCTTGCTGCTGCTATCGAACAGGGATTCAACAGCAGTGGCAAGAACGACAGCAAGCCCTTCACAAACTAAAATAACAGCAGCTGGGGAAACAACCTATAAATCGCTCACTTCCTTAAAAATTGATATTAGAAAACGATACTGCATACAGTTATGCTAGCCTGAAGTGCAACTTCTCACTACCCCACAAAACCTCTGTTCTGCCCCAAGCATCAGCACTTCAGACATGCACATTCCGCATTTGTATGAAAACCGCTTATTTTATAACAACCTATTTCAGGTTAAACATAAGGGGGTTCAGCAGCCTTTCGGAGCACGACACGGTGACACACAGCCACAGCAGCGGGCGGACCCG